CTTACAGAGAGCTTCCCAATCTCTCTCTAAAAAATAAAAGTATTGATCTTTCCCACAAGGCATAAAGAATTCAGAAGGGAATATGTTGGAGGACAAAACTGCCCGAACAAAAGCATCAAATGCACTTTTCCACCGGAAAAGGACTTGTTTGTTTGTTTGTTTTTCTTTTATCTAATGGCCAAATGGATGTGGAAATGAAGTTTTGTTGCAGCTGGAAGAAAATATTTCTCTAAAGTTTGTTTCTCCTCGCTAGGTTGTGTATGTCACAGCCACCTTCCCCTACATCATGCTGATGATCCTCCTGATTCGTGGAGTGACGTTACCAGGTGCTTCCGAGGGGATAAAATTCTACCTGTACCCCGACATTTCTCGGCTCTCTGACCCACAGGTAGGATCATGGATTTATTTGCCTCTCTGACTGGGAAAAACTGCAAGAGTTTCTTGATTCTGAAGTTTGAAAACAGGTGATGGCTGGGTGGTTGTTCGTAGTTGGAGGTTCGGAAACGTGGATGAGGCTTTAAAGCCATCACTGCTTATGTGTGGTTTAATTTTTTAGTTGTGGAGTACCTTGGTTGATAAATGAGAATTTCCAGAACTGTTCAGTTGCAGTTGGTGCTTCTGCCACTGAGGAGAAGGAGCATTGCCATGGGTTGAACAGGAACAGAATTAACTGAGACTTGACCATTTTATGGTTCTTTGTTCATTCTAAATCTTGGTCAAGATTAGTAGAGAAATTATTAATTGAGATGATTGCTGTCTTTGAAGTCTCTGCATGCAACCAAAGATGAATGAAATACTCAAACCAGGAACTCTGCCTGTTGTTTCCAGAGTAGAGTTGAACACGGAAATAATGGATTAAGCTGTGGGGTTTTTTCCAGTGACAGATAAGTAAAATAAAACAGTTACTATGTATAATTTGTCTGATATTGAACAGGGGAAATGACAAGATCTCTATAGAAACTGACAAGTTGAAGACAGTATTTTACTTATCTGGTTTGGCAATGTAAAAGACACTATACAGTGTTACTCCTAAAGCTATTACAATATGAAACAGATCCTGAGGTGGAGATAGAAAGGAATTTGGGAATATTTGTCAAAATAAATTTTTTAAATCTGCTTAGTGAAAATATGTCAGCATAATCTCTTTTTTTTTGTCTTTGCTTACTGCAAATGTGTATTTTGTTGCAAAAGACAATAGAGGTGACCCTTTCCTTGAAGTTTCTGAAACGACTGACTTGTCTAAAGTTTGCTTTAAGCAGGTAATATTTCTACAGAAGAAAAACAAAACAAACAAACAAACAAAAAAAAACCCCAACCAAACAAAAAACCTCCAAACAAACAAAAACCCGAAGTAAAAGACTCCTTTAAAATATTGAAAACTTTAGTTGAAAAATTAATCACGTCACCTCTTTTGGCTTCAACAACATGTCCATCGTTCTATGTCGGCATAGGTGGGAAGGGAAAGAAGGGCTTTGGAAGTGGTGTTTGAACATCAGATTCCCAATGTCCAGCTTGCTTAGAGGAGGCCCCAGGGTATCTGAGAAATTAGCACTGTACTAGAGGAAAACAGCAGGATTCTCTGACACAGCCCCAGTTATTTGTTTGCAGTCCCTCTGCTTTCAACTGAACCCCCCGAGTGTCTAAACTCATGGTACCCGAGACAAGAAATTCATCTGTCATAAACTTATCCGAGAACATGGGTGGCACTGGTTTGTCTTGTGCAGTTCTAACTGGTGTTTGACCCTCTGTGTGGTTCTGAGAGCTTGGAGTTACCCTCTACCTTCAACACTTTCCAGACATGTGGCATCCACAGCTTCTCTGGGCAGCCTGTGCCGAGGCCTCACCACTCTCACAGGGAGAAATTTTTGCCTAATATCTCATCTAACCTACTTTCCTTCAATTTGAAGTCATTCCCCTTTGTCCTGTCATTACATGCTCTTTTAAATTCTGTCCCACAATCTTCCTTGTAGCTCCCTTCAGGGCACAATTATGTCACCCCTAAACCTTCTCTTCTCCAGGCTGAACAATCCCAGTCTTTCCAGCCTTTCCCTGTAGGACAAATGCACTCCCTTGTACGAATAGGAAGCGGTTCTGCTTCTTAAGTGTTGGTTCCTTCCCTTTTGCAGTGCTGGACAAGGGGCCTGTTAACAGGATTTTGCCCTGCGTGTGGATTTTTCACGTGCCACTGCCACCCTTCCTTCTGTTTGTCATTGAAGGAGGGCATGCAAGCTTAAGGGACATTATTGTCAGCTACAAGGGGGGTTTATATGCCTATTTACTACCCTGTTTCCACTTATAAAAGAAGCACGTCGTTACCATGACAATTTGCAAAACACACAGTATTAGTGTAGCAGTCTGGGAAGCACAAAATAACTTCAGACACGTGTGTGTGTGTGTGTGTGTGTGTAGTGTGTGTGTGTCTCTGCTTGTCCCACACATATAGCTCAGCTAAATTCCCTAAAATGCCTTTGGGGAATGCTCAGTGGATGCTTTAGTGGTTTTAGAGAGTTGCTCTTTTCTTGGAAAAAGGCTATTCCATCAAAATGGAAATATTTTGCTGGGAATCACTCATTCAAGATTTGAAGAAAGGTTTCAGAATGGTGGGTGGGACTTCAGGTCAGTTTTCAAGAAATAGAGGAAGTTCAGCTTTTCAGTCCTAAAAATAGAATTTGGCACAACAATATTTATTGAAAAACAGCATTGGTTCAGTTTTATCGCAACTTTTAGTGCTCACGATACATTTTCCATTTTATGGCAATGTCGAACTTAATATTTAAACTCAAAATGTTTGAATAACCCCCCCCATTCCACAAGCCTTTTCTGAGTGGGTTCTTGAGCTTTTTGCCAAGAAGCACGTAGAGGACAACTGAAATAACCTTGAGATTTGTGCTTCTTTCCATCTTCACCCTTGTTTTCTTTTGGATTTACTCCACAAAACCTAAAGCATGTGTAGTATCAGAGATTGTTTTCCTCTTCAGCTGGAGGCCTATTTCAGTACCATTCCAGGATGGGCACTGTGTCTGCATTAGGAGAGTGGTATTTGAACCCCAGTGCTGACTGTGTTTTGCTGGGGAATAAATAAATTAAGTTTCTCTCCGAGGCTCCCTTTAGTTTGAAGTTCTTGAATCCTTTGTCTTTGCGTAATTTGCATTCCACAGTTTGTTAGAGCCTTGTAAGCAGCTATTCATCTGCCTTTTCAGCCCCTCTCAGCTCTCCAGGGCTGTGCTCTCCATTTCATTTTTATATTCTCTCTCTTCAGCAGACCAAATCCTCTCGGTCTGAAAATGCCTGCTTTTGTCCTGTGTGTCTGTGGAGCTCATCCCAACCACTTTTTGTTGTAACAGTGGAAGCAATAACAGTCTGAAGCTCTATTTAAGCCTCAGAAACGCTTTGCTTCATCAGCACTAAGGTCTCAGTAGCCTTCATGCTCAAATTGCCTTGAAATACATCCCTCTCCCCTAATCTGGATGATACAGGTGCCGTTTGTAGCTTAAATGTGGGATCTTTGCTGAGCTATAACTCACACAAAAGAAGGGCTTTTTCAAGTCAATAGGATTGTTGTGGTTTTTGTATGCAAGTCTGACTCAGATCAGAGTGTGGTTCTGGTTGTCCCTCAACAGATTTGAGTCACTTAATATGTAGTTGTACTTGTGTGTGGTGCTCAGTGCTCCTTTTTTGAGACAATGTTTGGCTCTTTGTGATAGGATTTTACAAACATTTGTGCATGGAAGAGGTTAAATGGGTTGGGTACTAGCAGACATACCAGTTGGATGGATCAGAAAGCTGGACAATGACATGGAAAAACATACACATGTAAATTTAAACTCCTCTGTAACAGTGGATTCTTAAAATGAGGAAGAAAATAGAGATTTCGTGTTTGTTGTGTGTTTGTATCCTAATAACTGGCTGAGTTACTCTCTTTTTTAATTAAAAAATATGGATTGTTTTGATGAAGATACTCATGATAGCAGCTGTAGGGATGAGCACGTCAACACAGACAGAATTGCCCACTCCTCTGAACAAGCTGATGCTTACCAAAATCTTGAACAAATTTTACATTACAGCTACGAGAGTTCACTCTTAGGTAGCTATGACTCTGCAGGGCTTCCAGGGGTTTCCATGGGCATTCCTGCAGTGGCTACTCCTCCCAATTGCAAAATGACTTCCAGAAGGACCTTTTCCATAAATTTGAAATTTGATTGTCTGGATTGTAGTTCACTGGACCTTCCTTCTTGAACATAAGAACCGAAACACAAATGCACAGCAATGAGCATCAGCCTAACCTTAAAAAGCCCTTACACTTAATAAGTTTATAATGCAAAGGTGACTTTCTTCCCTATGTTGCCCTCTGGCTTAAAACATGGTTTCTTCCTGCATTTTTCTATGTGGCACTCAGGGTAACTTGTCATAGTCTGTGTGTTTATAGAAAAAGGAACATGTTAGTATATTGGATATCTGATTTAGAGAAAACAATTTTTTTTTTTAATTGGTAGAAAATAACATGGAATAAATGCATGTAATATTTTTCCCTGAAGATTGTATTTTTCCTTATGTACTCCTCAATTTTTAGATTAGCATGAGTTTATTTTACTAGTTATTCCCTCCTTAACATGACCTTAGTATGTTTCAGCATACACATAAAATTCTATTTTTAAAAAGTTGCTGAAACTGTAAAAGATTGCTTTCCAATTCAGCTAATTACAATATACAGAAGTGAGAGACATTTGGGAATAATACACAGATGCAGGGGTAAATATTTTCTTAAATCCTGACCTGAAAATCCAAACTGGGAAAAGCACCGGGGAATTTCTCTTCTCTTCACTTTTCATTGCCAGTGTCTGGGAACGCTGAGTTACCTCAGCAGAAAGAAGTGACCCCCAGTGATTCAGATCTAGGACTTGCAGCCCTGGAATCGAGCGACTCCCACAATCCTATCGCCACCTGGAGGCCGAGGAAGCCTTTTCCAAAGGCAGAGGAAAATCCTTCCTGCCTTTGAAACTGGAGCAAACGCCACTTTGAAACATAAGTATTGTGTTACAACCTCCTTTAAAAACAAAGCAAAAATACTGTAGAAGAAATTTTGATCTTATTTTTGGGTGCTTTCGCTCTCAGAAAATCAAGGGAACTGCAAGGGAATCCCGAGTAGTGGATTTTTGACCTGTTCTGCATCTGAGCATCCTGATCCTTAAAATAGTCACCTAGGAATTTTCATAAGTTGGCAATGAAATGATGTCTAATTGCTGGGGAATTTTGGGATGCTTTTGTTGTTTTGAGACATGGTATGTAATGATCTTTGAGGTCTTTCCCAACCTTAATGGTTCCATGATTCCACGAGTGAGAAACTTGTAGTCTAATTAGAAATCTGCTTTGTGGGTTATATTCAATACC